GCATCTTTAAAATGTGAAGAATCACTGTGAATCTCCTTAATGTTAAGGCCCAGAGGACTCCCCAGATTATGAGCCATGCACTTTCCCTTCTTCATCGATGGAGGGAGCCTGGAGTCACAAGGAACACATTTTGGGGAAATGTTGACGTGAGGACCCTGACAGGGCTTCTTCCTTAGCCTGGCTGCTGCATCCCAGAAAAACCGTCTGTGCCACTTAATTTTTTTTTTTTTTTTTGAAAAGGAATTTTCTGGACTCCTTCCCAGAATCTACAGCAGAAGGGCACTGGGACTCTAGGCTTCCAAAAGCTCTACTGGAGAGCAAGCATTGCATTATGGGAACAGCCTTTGGATTTGGAAGAGCCCAGGTCCAGTCCAGCCATCATACCCAGTCAGTTCAGTATAATTATTTTTGGAAGGTGATGAATTATCTCAGGTTCTCACCCAGAAAACAGGGAATAACACTTACTCATTGGTATATTTTTGGTCCCAAATGGTAAAATGACATAATCAGAGGAAATAATTTACACATGGACATTGTTTCCCATTTGTTTTATACATCCTTGGGACCTTCAGTAGAAAAAAAAAAGTGAATAATGAAGTTATTTGCTTTTGCTAATTTTTGAGGTTTAGAGGCTAATTTTTGCCTTTCTCCAACTAGAATAAATGGATTCCACTTGCTGTGAGAGGCTTGTGGTACTCCAACCATCACTATATTGAGAGCACAGGACTAAGTCACTTTAGGACTAGCAACCAGGCTCTGAAGACTCATGGCCATAACTCCTTGTCTTCACTCACACTAGATGGAACCTCTGCTTTGCAAGAGATCATATAAATCACACCCCTAAGTGAAATCTATATTGAGTATAGATGAGATAGTATCATCATGGGCTTATGTTACATGCAATACAAAAGCCCAGCACTTGGCCAGCAGCAGCTGCAAGCTCTTCTGTGGAGGGGAAATTATTCTGAGTCCAAATTTCAAAGGTGTGTCTATTTCTATGAGAGCAGATGCAGCAGGGTTTTTATAGGCACCCTAACATTTGGTGTTTTCATGCTCCTTTCTTGCTTAATAATCCCGTAGGCTAGAAAGTTTTAACCCTTAGCTATGAATGTGCAGATGTGTGTTTGCACATGTGTGTGCATATGTGTGCATGACAACAACTACCATTTAGGGGGAAATGTACGTGTTCACTTAATCCTGCTCCAGGGAAATGTCTTGTGGGTGAATGAAACAGCACAGATAATCCCAGTCCTATAAATGGATGTAATTTTGAAGTTCACTTGTAAGTCAGTAGTTTGGATCATGGAACACGTTTTCTCATGAGAAAAAAAAAAAATGTAAAGAGAGTCCTGACCCGGAACCCAAGAAACTCCTACAGTGCCTGAAGCAAACAATTATTTTCATTATTTAGAGAGAACAATGTTTCCATGGGAACGATTCTGAGAGTTCTACTGTATGGGTGAGAGCCACTGACTATAAAATTTTAACTAGTCTCTTAAATCACACTGCCCTTTTCCCTTAATAAATTACCAAGAAGAGAAGCTATTAATACCACAAATTATTTCCTGAATGTTAAGTTAAAATAATATTTCTTTCTCCGCTGTCGTATGTACTTTCAAACATTAGTAAAGGGGATCCCACAGAACAAGGACGAGTCTCTCAGAATGTCATGGAGATAGACCAGATCTGCTTCTCGGCCATTCTCCTGTGTGCAGGAGACGGATAAGCCGGCTCCAGGGAAGTAGTGGGTACTGTCCTCATCTTTATTTTTACAGACTGGGATATCTCTCTTTCCTTCCAAGTCTTTACCTTTGCTTTAGTCTTTTTGTTTGTCTGTTTTAACACTCATCTTATAGTTTAATAGGGATTGGCAATAAATGATGAAGTATAGTCTTGGACACACTGACCACAGGAATCAGAACCATAATACGTGGAATATGCTAGAATTTGTATCAGTGTATCACAGAATCACAGTGCTGGAAAGAACCTAAAAAGATTGTCTCACCTATTCCCTGGCTTCCCGACAAGGCAACCATCCCAGGCAGAGGAGAGCTTCAGAGGGGGAAGGATGTCATTGTCTTTAACACTTTCTAGACCTGACCACCTCTTTGCTGTCAGGCTCTTTTTGTTAACTTTTTATTTAAATTATTCCATACACAGTTACAACTGTATTTTCATTTCTGATATTTAAAGCAGGGAATAAAGTAAGCTTATTACTCAAAACTCCCACAATGCACTCAGCATTAGAGGTTTGTGTTCTCTCCCCTGGGCTGTCCTGAACATTCCGGTGTCTGATCGTCTAGTCCCCTCTTCTGGGCTCTCTGGGCTGTCTGCATGCCTTTACCAGTGAGTACCTGGACGGAGTCTAACAAGACATCTGGGAGTTCTGCATGGCATGCACACGTAGGAACATTGAGGTATAATCTGCTAAGCAGGCCCTAAGACTTGGATACAAAGGAAGGTAAAATTTAATAACCATAATAAAATTATAAGAACACAGACTATTTATTTATAGTCATTTTCTTCTGGGTAGTAAAAAGATGCTAATCAGCCAAAGTAAGGGGATCAAGGGAATTCCATCACTATTAAACAATTTATGCATGAAACATGATACTCCCCCCCTCTATTTCTCTCTCTTTTGAGACAGGGCATCACATGTAACTCTGGCTGGCCTGCAGCTCACTATATAGACCAGGTTTGTTTTCAATCCATAGAGATGGGCCTGCCCCTGCTTCCGTAATGCTGGGATTTGAGGTACGTAGTTTTAAATGCCACACACACTTTTCATTCTCTGTGTTTAGTATGTACATACGCACGGGTGTTCATATTGTGTGTGTATGCATATGAACATGATTTTGGAGGCCCCAGGGGTTCAACCTCAGTCTTTCTTGGTTGCTCTCCACCTTATTATTTTAAAAAAGATAATTGTGTATGTGTTTGCACATTTGTGTGTGTGAATGCAGGTATAATGTGTGTGTGTGGGGCATGTGTAGAGGTCAGAGGACAATTATGTAGGTCCTCACCTTATACCTTATTTTGAAATAGGGTCTCTGCTAGGTTTTTTTTTCCCTGCATATGTAAGACTAGCTGGCCCTGAAGCTGTGGGTAACTCTCCTGTCTCTGCCCCCCGTTTTGTCCCAGCAGAGCTACAAGTATCTGTAATACCTGTTGACTTTTACAGAGGTTCTACAGATTCAAACTCAGGTCCTAAGACAAAAGCAAGCGCTCTTGCCCACTGATCCATCTCCCCACCCCCACCTTATTTCTTGAGACTTCGGTAACCCTAGAACTCTCTAGACTGGCAACACCAGATGCCCAGCTAGCTTCGGGGATCCACCGGCCTTAGCCAGCACACGCAGTACAGGGGTTACAGACCTTTTGTGTGTACTCGGCCTTCTGTATTTGTGCTGGGGAGTTTGAACTCAGGTCCTCATGGTTTGGGGGTAAACATTATATTCAGTGAGCTACCCCGCCCCTGGCCTAAACATTTTCTTTTTATACACAGAATTTACTATAAGCCCTTAAAAATAACCTTTTCAGCTATTTTAAACCAGGAATGACACCCCTCTGTCTACAAGGTTCTGTGTGCCTCCAAGGGGAAGATGAGGTCTGAAGGATGGATGCATGCTGAGATTTCCATATTATGATCCCAACTTGACAATAAGTACCACTCATGGGGTAATGTAAGTTTCTGCAGTGACAGAAGCATTTTTTTTTTTTTTGATGCCAGGTTGTGGTTTGAATATGAAATGTGCCCCCAGTCTCTTGTGTTTGGACACTCGGTCCCTGGCTGGTGCTGCTGCTTGGGAAGGTTATGGAACCTTTAGGAGGTGGAGTCTTCCTGGGGGAACTATGTCACTGGAAGTGAGTGCGTTTTGAAGTTTCATAGCCTGGTCCCACTTCCTGTTTTTATTCTCTACATCCCGACTGCCAGCCTCATGCCCCTGCCATCCTGCCTTCTCTGCAATGATGTGACTATCCTCTCTGGAAATATGAGCCAAAATAAGTGCAAGCCAAAAACCACACTTCTCCCCTTTTGTTTATTATGTACACAGTGTTCTACCTGCATATACTCCTGTAGGCCAGAAGAGGGCACCCAATCTCACTGTAGATGGTTAGGAGCCACCATTGTTGCTGGGAATTGAACTCAGGACCTCTGGAAGAGCACTCAGTGTTCTTAACCTCTGAGCCATCTCTCCAGCCACCCACACCCCATTCTCCCTTTTAAGTTGCTTTGGTTGGGATATTTTCATCACAAAATAAACTAATAACCAGGTTGACAGCAGACTTTATCTTGGCAAAAAGACCACTGAGAATACAGCACCTAAGTCTCCCACACCAGCAGCTCCATGGATACAGATGTCCTTATCTCTTCAGGGGTTTACAAAGCAGAACAAGCCTTCAGAGCTTCCCAGAAGCCAACAGTACTGTCATCCTGCCAAAGGCAAATCCGTCTCTGGGGTAAAAAAAAAAAAAAAAAAAAAAAAAAAAAAGACCCTGCAAAGTAGGGGACTCTTTTGCTTCCACTGAATATAACAAATGTTGCTTTGGAAGCTAGGATCCTCTGAGCTTATTACAAGGAGACCCTTATTCTGCACCAGCCAATCAGATATCCTGCACAAAGGTTTGCTCTTTATTGTAAAGATTTAGGGTACAGATGAGGAACTGTAAAGAAAGACATGCTAAAAGAAAAATTTCTCGTTTGACTCCGAAGGTGTCAGCACTATTTATTTAACTCACTGGTTTAAATATTTTGAGATTATGCATTAATCTATTTTAACAAAATAGACCATGGCTAATGTACACAATCCATCGGACCTGACTGAAGTATCCAGTTATGAAGGCTTCCTGAGTTTCAGATTTCCTGCACAAATCCTACCTTAAATTTCCTTGTACACACTGACAAAAATATGGCATGAGATTGAAACTCTGGCATGAAGATATTCTGTAAGGTGCCCACTCACTAATCATGTGATTTAACAATGGGGGATTCAACTTACTTGTTCATTTTTAGTAAGCCTGGTTTTGTTGTGAATGTCTGACGTGACCAAATTAAACCCGTGCTTCTCTGACAAGATTCTCAGAAGCAGGACCACGGTGCGGCTGCCACACTTGCCGACTCTGTTGTATACCACCTGGCTGGGGAAAGGAAGGACCTGGAAGGAGAACCAGAGAAGCAACATGAGACGTGGACAAGAATGCAAGTCTTTCCCCCACGTGACAGCACAGAGTGTTGGGCATGTCAATGAGAAGGGTCTCCAGTGAGCTCCAAAGAGCAGAAGCCAGGAGCTACTGTGCAGATATAGCCCCTCATAATATTTCAGGGAGAGTACTGGTCTACCTGCACTCATTCAGACCTGAAATTGATCAAGTTACGTGACGTCTATAAAGACCGACCATGAACTGGCTTTAAAGGCACAATAAGTAGAAATGTCTTTTTGCAAGGCAGGCTTTAGCAGACCAGCTCAATCAAGGAAAACACAGTGGCATTAAAGACTGATGTAGAGGCTGGGTGTGCTGGTGCACGCCTTTGATCCCAGCACTTGGAAGGCAGAGGCAGGTAGATATCTGTGCCTTCTAGGCCAGCCTGGTCTACAAAGAGAGTTCCAGGACAGCTAGAAATACACAGTGAGACCCTGTCTCAAACAGCTACAGCAAAAATGATGTAGAACTCATATATCATAAAAATCAAACTCATAAACAGAGCAATTTAAGGAATTTCTTTTTGGTAGATGCCCCCCCCATTATAAAAGCGTTATCGCCATCAAGTTCCAGGAAATTGTCATCACTAGCAGAAGAACCTCATACCTGTTAGCAATCATTTCACTTTTCCACGCTATTCCAAGCTCCTGGAACCATTTACATACTTTCTGTCTCATGGTATTACATGGAGGATTTTAGAAAGATCATGTAAATGAGATGAGATGCATGTCTTTTATGTCTGACTTTTACTTAGTAGGACATTTTTCAGTATCAGCTGTTATATACACACATACACACATTCACACAGTGACTTAATACTCCATCCTCTTACACGCCCAGGTACCACTGTTTGAACAAACTGGACTCTTCTCATGCATCAGTTGATGGACACATGGCTCATGTTCTGTAGTAACACTGCTATGAGGATGTGTGTACCTGATTTTGTGTGGACATGTGTTTCCAATTCTCTTACACACATACCTAGACGTGGAGCTTCTGGACCAACAACAATTCAGTCTCTGGTGTTCTGTGCAACTGCCAAACTGTTTTCAATACAGCTGCACTGTTTTGTATTCCCATCAGCAACATATGAGCGTTCCAGTTTCCCCACATCCTTGCCAACCTCTGTTCCTGCCTGTTTTTATGTTTTTGTTTTTTATTATAAACATCCCAGTGGGTGTGAAGTGATATCTCATTGTGGTTTTGAGATATATTTCCCCAGTGACTAATAAGGTTGACCATTTGTGTGTGTGTGTGTGTGTGTGTGTGTGTGTTTGTGTGTGCTGGTCACTTTCTCGTTTCTTTGTAGAAATGTATATTTAAAATTTTTGCACTGTCAAGTTGAGCTGCCTTTTTATTGATGCATTTATAGAGTATTGTATTCCTATCTTCTCTTTATTTATAAAGACATGAATTGCAAATGGTTTTTCCCCCTCATTCTTTGGGTTGTTTTTTCATTTTCATGACAGATTCCTTAGAATTCTAAAAGTTTTAAATTTTGGTTGGATCCAATTTTATTTTGGCAATTCATGTTTGAGATCTGTCTAAGACAATCTGTAAGATGCAGACCTGTTTTCTTCTCAGGGTTTTACACTTGAGTCCTAACAACTTAGATCTCTGATCCACTTTGAGTTCACTCTTTGTATCGCATTGGGTTAGGCCTAGTTTGGTACATTTGTAGGTGTCCATCAAGTTGTCCCAGAAACATTTAGTGAATGGCTTGCTCTTTCTTCGTCTGTCAGCCTTGCTGACAGTCTACTGTCTTGTTCATCTGTGCTCATCCTGTGCATAAGCTAAGCGCTTTCATTAGGATAACTTTGACCAAAGTTTTGAATTAGGAAGGGTGATTGTTTCAACTTTGTTCCTTGATTGTGCAAGAACAGATTTTGGTCATTCTGGGTCCCTTAAATTCCCAGATGAAATATCCAAAGGAATTTTAGAATCACCTTTCTGCCAAAAAAATCCCCCAGGTAACTGAAATTTTAATAGCAATTCAATTTAATGCATTGAACAGTTGGGGGATGATTGCTATCCTAACAGTACTGCCTTCCATTCATGAACACTGGCTGCTTTTCTACTGATTTCATTCTTTAATTTGTTCCACTGATTATCTCATAATGTTCAGTGGAAAACCTTTATAGTCTCAATTTATTTTTTTTTTTATGCTGTATGGGTGGAATTATTTCCTTCATTTTATTTTTGGATGGTCCATTACCAGGAATACAGCTAATTTTTGTATATTGATCTTGAGTCTTGTCATCTTGCTAACTCGTTAATGCACTCTAATGATGCCCTCCATGTGGATTACTTGGGAAACTCTACATACAAGATGATGCCATCTGCAGAGATATTTTTAGCTTCATCTTTTCCAACAAAGCTTTCTCTGATTTCTTTTTCTTTCCTAATCACCCGGTGATAATGACCTTGATTGGCTACAGAAGCATTATAGAAAGCATCTATGATTAAATATTTATACCCCTAATAGAGTCATTATTTCTGTCTTGAAATGCTCAGCATTGTGCACTAATTGACGAACAATAATCAAAAGTTTCTTTTATTCAACATCTTCCCATAGCAGAAGGTTGTAAGAGAGCCCAAAGGAAAACCACATAACACAGCACAAAAGCCACAGACAAACACACTCAGAACTCCCCTCCTCCTACAGGGTAAGTTATTGTCTTGAAATAGCTTACCGATATGAACTTAGAAACAGCCATAATATCTCCATCATTCACTTCGTAACCAGGCACATGCTACTGTGATATAATTCTTCCCATTCCTATTATTCTCTTATATCCATATCTTCAGGTCCAGTCTTCTGGGCTTCTATGATGCATCCTCACACTACCTAGAATGTACCTTGTATATACAAAGAGCTTCAGCAGATGCTGACCGTGTCTTGGCCACTCTGATGAATTTAATGTGCTGTCCAATGCTAACAGAGTGGTTCTACTAAAATTTGAAATCAAGAAAATCTTTGAACACCGATGGACTTTCTAATCAAATACTAACAAAAGTTTTCAGGATAAAAAGATAGTCACGGTAATAGGTCTTTACTTAGAATATCTTCGGTAAGTACCCTCCCTCAAAGACTGTTCTCTGGTAACTATGGCAACCCAGATATTTAGAGAGATCAGTCATGTTTGTAGGTATGAGTATGAGCCAAGGAGCTTGGCCTAGGTTGTCAAGGTTAGTGTGAAAACGTTAATATAGCGTTGGTTACTTGGTCCTCCAGTATAACCAGGGTAGGTATTGACTATAGGCATGACAGCTGCCCATATAAACACGAGTTCAGTTTCTCTGTAAAAATAAATTGCTTGGGGCTGGTGAGATGGATCAGCAAACCAAGGCAGTTGTTGCTGAGCCTGACAACTTGAGTCTGAGCCCGGGGACTCACACGGTGGAAGGAAAGGACCAGTTCCTGAACACTGTCCTCTGACCTCCACACACAGGGCATGGGCACCTTCTCCCACACACATAATAAATACATAACTATAAAAGATAAAAGGAAAGAAAGTACTTAAAAATTGGCCTTTCCTGATAGACCCTACCTTGTAACACAATAAGAATCACTGAAGGGAATTCTTATATCTGCCTCTGTAACATAGGAACTAGGAGTTTAGATGCAAGTAGGTACCCTATTCCAGGGCTGCAGGCATATCTAAGAAGGGAGAAGTGGAGTACTTGCTAAAGACCTTAGGTAAAAGCATCCTTCCTCCTGAATTGCTCGGAGACTTGACCTAAAACCACACTGACTGTTGTACTGCTTCCTTTTGCTAATAGTTAGCTTTATGTTAGAAATGAATTAGTCATTAAAAATGTTAATGCAACTCTTTCATCAGTGTTGTGGGAGGTCTCAAATTATAATAGTCACTGTGGTGGTTCGAAAGAAAATGGCTCCCAAAGGGAGTGGCACTACTAGGAGGTGTGGCTTTGTTGGAGTAGGTGTAGTCTTGTTGGAGGAAGTGTGTCACTGTGGTGGTGGGCTTTGAGTTCTCATATATGCTCAAGCCATACCCAATGAATGAGTTCACTTCCTGTTGCATTCACAAGATGTAGAACTCTCAGCTACCTCTCCAGCATCATGTCTGCATACACTCTACTATGTCCCACCATGCTGATAGTGGACTTAACCTCTGGGCTGTAAGTCAACCAATTAAATGGTTTCCTTTATGAGAGTTGCCATGGTCCTGGTGTCTCTTCACAGCAATAGAAACTCTAACTAAGATAGTCATTAATATTTTCGATTATAAGAGATACTTATATAAGATAAAAATAAAAATCCCTGCACCATGACTGCATCTGTATCTACAACAATAACTGAAAAGTGTCTTGAGACCCTGTCCCCCATGCATAACTCGATCATTGTCCTCTGGAACTATCTCTGAATAAGACTAAGCCTGTTAACTTTTCACCATGGAGGAGGGATTCATGTGGCTCCACAGCCACCCTCCCCATAGGATTCACAGACAGTTCAAGATTGTTAGTAGAGAGGTCTCACAAGGCCCTAACCCTCCCCAAGATTATATGTAGTTATGGGCTACTACGGGAAAGGTCTCAGGAGGCCCTATTTCTTCCTGTAGGAGTTTTTAAGCAGTTAACCTTTGCTGGGAGAGGGGAAGCCATGACAGGGCCATGCCCCCCCCCCCCCCCCCCCCCCGAGGATGTATAGACAGTTAACCTTTGCCAGGGATATATGTTTTTCCTAAGTGGTGTAGCTGCCCATATGTTGTCTAAGACCCTGTAATTAACCTGGATTGAACTCACTGTTTCACCAGACCAGACATGAGTGAAACTCTTTCTGTGGTCTGTCACTGGAATCCTATCAGGGATGAACATACACTTGTTGCCTTACCCCCACCCCCTTCCAGGAAAAGTTCTCAAAACACAGGGAAAATACAATATTCCCACTGTGACTATTTCCACCTGACACTGACGTGGAGCCATATAATGG